TATTGGTTCTACCTTGAACTATCACCGTGGTACAAGGAACCGGACCATAACACAAATTATTATTTTTCTATTTTCCTGTATTCCATTATTAAACCCTTTCATATAGGGACAAATATACTGATTTTTAGATAAACAAATTTTTTTTTTAACCATTAAAGGGTTAACGTAATAATTTTTTTTTGAAATATTTATAAAATTATGTTTAATATTTTGTTTTTTGAAAGATTCTTCAGCTTCAATATAATTTTTTACAAATTTGTTTTTATTTTTACAGGGCAAAATTTAAATGGCGGAATAATGAAGGATTACAAATCTCTTCCGGGATACATAATCCAATTTTATAAATTTATATCATTTAAACTCTGTTTATTAATCATTATATGGTCAAATAACATAAGTGGATCAATTTTTTTTTCCGATTAAGGATCTGTGAAAAATGAATTGTTTCAACAGAGTTTTGAAAATCTAAATTTTTTAAAATTTTATTTTTTATAATGATTTGATTGTTTTTCGGAAGTTTTCAATGTCAAATTATATTTTTTTAGAAAAATGTTTAATTTGATATCGAAGGTCATATGCAGGCGGTTTCACTGGATATAATGAACTTCGGTAGAATTTTTCAATATGATTATTTCACGGCTTATATAAATTATCCATTCGTGTATTTACTTTGCTGATGTCAATTTTTTGATTCTTGTAATGAAGATAATTATGTCACATTTTGTGTTGGAACTGCTGGCTAAATTTAAAGAAATTCAGATAGTTATATTTCCGGCTAACTCATGGATGGGGAAATAAAAATTTTGATTGTACCTGAAATGAACCAAGCTCTTCAAATTGAACATTTTAAGATTATTATAGCGTTAAAATGAATTAAAAACATTTGTTCAAAAGGATGCAATAACCGGTGTTTTAACGTTTACACTTTAGGAAAGCCAAAATGTTTCACATGACTTACATTTCATCTGGAGTTCATCAGCCTCTTAATGAAAATAAATAACAATATATATAGTATATATATATATATATCTAAAATTATATTGTATGGCTTCATCCTGATAATCATTCTAAAAATAACAATTTAACAGCTTAAAAAAAGTTTCATTTGCATATTTTCCAGTTGACAAAAATTTGATGTTTTTCTGAAATTCCAAAATCAACATGAAAACATGTCTTAAAATTTCATAACTTGTAAAACAAACAAATCCAAAAAATGAATAATTTTAATTTGAACTAAATTTTCGGATTATGTTAAAAATATGCATGGTTATTAAAAATGTCCATTTATCAATATATTTACCTGCCATTTTCAAAGATTAATTTGTGTGAAAGAAAACTTAATTTGCTGGTTTCAAATGCATTGTTAAGTCCAAAAATTTTTCAGTTGTTATAATAGTCCAAAAATTTACAACTTTTTTATTTAGTGGAAAAAAGGCATAGTGTTCAAAAATATTTATTAAAAAATGTCAAAATTTCTGATTTTCAGATTTAAATCAAAATAAATCCTTTTTATGTTAATATGAATCAAAATTCCGCCTTTTATTTTCGGATATTGCCACCATTTATGCTTTTTCTGGATTTTATATTTCAAAATAAAAATTTAGAATTATCTGTCACAAAAATTTCAGTGTTGTTTTTAAAAAAAAGAAAATAATAAGGTTTTGACAAAAGATCCTTAAAATTTGCAAAACGTTAAAATGTCGAAAAAAAAAAATATAGAAAAAAAAAAAAAATTTTTTTAGAAAAAAATCTTAATTTAAAATTTTTGTAATTTTTTTCCTTTTTCCTTGTTTTCGTGTTAAAAAGAATTTCTTTTTTCTGAGTGCATAAAAACAAAACTTGATTTTCAAAATGCATCAAAAAATTTGTTTGTTTCCAAAGTGTCCAAACGGATAATTTGTTTGTTTTCCAAATTGTCACAAATTTATTTGTTCAACATATTCAATGCAGAAATATTTTTTTTTTTATGTTTAAGAAATTTGTCCAACAAGATATTAAATGAATATCAAATATTAAAATAGAAATTAAAATGTCAAAATTATATTCTTATTGAACGGTTGATTATGATTTTTATAGTTTGCATGATATCAGAATGAAAAACTCTGTCAAATCTGATTAATTCTTCTAAAACTTTAAATGTTGATTTTGTTTATTAATGGATTTTGGAAATGTGATTATTTAAGCCGATATTTTAATTTTTAATTGAGACCTTCAATTTGGTTATGAAATCTAAAGATTAAATTCCTTTTAATGATGACTAGAATCATTAAAAATGATATATTTTATCTTTTTGATATCAGTTTTAATTTCTATTTATGAATACATATAGTATGGAATAAAATTTTTATTTAGGAAGATTTAATTATGTGCGAGTATTTTCTGAACCAATAAGTTTATATTTTAAATAGACAATGGTTCGGTTCTTAACAAAATACCTTTTCCTTATTCGTTATTAACTTTTCTCAATCTTTTTGACTTTTGATTTTATTTTAGATTTTCTTTCATTGAAACAAAAATAAAATATATTGATTTCCATCAAACAACAATTTTTGGGGACAATAAAAATTTTTTTTTCACCAACGCAAAAGAAAGTTCAGGAGAAAGTCAACACTATTTTTCATATTTTGTTTATCTTTTACACTTGGCATTGCCAAAGGTTCAATACAAAACATTTCAGAATGATTATGTGTCAATCTGAGGAGACTGCAGAGGATACGGAAAAGTTGGAAATAGTGATTACGAAGGTGTTTTTTAAAAAAAAAATAAATGGTGATATTATGCCTCCATTCAATCTTCACGCAGGGATTCAAACTTAACACGAAGGCCTCATTTTAAACCTTGACAACGTAGTGCTACTCTTTTCATCTCAAAGCTGAAAGAATATATATCTGGCAACAGGACTGTACATATGCCATTTCAATAAATTCATGGCTGTTATATTTCTGTGACTACAATTTTTATCTTATATATATATATATATATATATTAATATAACATATATCATTATTTTTTTTGAAAATATTTTTGAAAAAAAACAAAACTCCTTGTAAAAGAAAAATAAAAAAAAAAAAGGATTATGGAAAACTACAGATCACCAAATTAAACTAAGGAAAGACATCCAGAAAAGTTTCAGGAGATTCGAACTCATCTGTTAACTCGGTTTCTGAAGACAATGGCGATTTTTATTGAATCTAGTTTTATTTTAAATTTATAATAAGAAAAAAACGAAAGAATATTAATATTTACAATTCTATCTGTTCTAAAATTAAGATTTTTCAATTTTATTTTCATTTTTTATTAACTTAGACGATAATTTATCAATATATATATATGTAATTCGTCTGATTACGTTCCATGGAAATAACGATGGATTAACCGAGATCTTGCAACGTTTCGTCTGTTCCCAAATTAGATGTAGGTTTGAAAATAATTAATCAAATAAGGACAAACCCGGAATATTTGATCTCTATCGAGTCTGGAAAGAGAAGACAGGGCATCTGCCAATGTATGGCAATAGTAATCCAACTCCGGTCTGAATTGGCTCTTGTTAAAGCAGTGGATAGTTTATTTTATTAAAAAATTAATAAAGTGCTAAAGAGATCCGACCATATTTAGCATTTTTAGTGAAATCGTGGTATGATATAATTTTAGATTTCTTTAGACGGCAGAAAATGTGAATGAAATGGTACAAGTTCATAACGGTTCATTCCTTGATCGATAACTGAGAAGATATACAATTTGCGAGACATATTTTTACCGAAAAAAATGAACGATAACCGAATCGTACAAATACGGAGGTGCTCGATAACCGAGGTTCCTCTGTATAATAATTTTGAAATTGGGAAGAAAGGACAATAGATAAAGCTTAAATCTTAAAAAAACCACAGCCCAAATAAATTATTATTTGCCCGAATATAGAATATTCGGATAAACCGGTTGTTTTTCCCAGTTGCATCCCCATTTTTTGGTTTCAAATCCTGTCGGAAAGCCATGTTTTTTCAGTATCATTTGACAGCCACCGCCAGTGGTTCAAAATAGAAACTTCTCATAGACCTGAATAAAAACAATACAAGAATAAACGGAAGAAACTTTAAAACGGAAGAATGTTTAATATTTCAAAATTCGTTCTACTGTCAAAGTTCCGTCAAAAAAAATCATCATTGAGAATACTTGCCTTTTTTATTTTTGATCTTAAACTGACATGACAAAAAAAAAGTTATATTTTTTGTTAATTCTAGCATTCGTAAAAAGTTCAATCCCGGACAGGACATAATAAAAAAAAACTTTTTTTCCGTTTTTAATAATTCCACCCCAAACAAAAGAATAAGGCCACTGAGATGTAAAGGGTTACTGCGTGTGAAAGAAAAAGCGATAAAGGAAATCATTATTAACGAGAGAAGACAATAAAAGAACAGACGATTGATAAAAAATAATTTGAATCATTTCACTCAAACAATACAAACTTTTTTATAAATATATTTTTTATATATTTTATATATATAAGTTCTTGGGAACTGATTGTATTCCTTATACAGGAGATTCCCTGAGAGGAGGAATCGGGTACTGTTGAAGCTTGGATAAGCATGGAATAATAATAATACAACACAAAATGTACGTAAACAAAATGTATTGAAACAAGGAAAAGGTACACAATATTTACAGTTAGTTTTGGTATATTCTTGGGAAGACTGTTCCTGTAGAATGGGTTGACTTAATCGCAGTCGGGCAGAGTCTCTCGATTCGATTTCTTCTTCCTTCTCTCTCGTCTTCCGGTACCAACCCATATTTATATCGGTCGGTACTCCACTATGTAAATTAGGTGGATCGTACCACAACAGGTACTTTCTAGCGCAGTAATCGTTTGTTAGTTATTTACTGTTGTATTTAGACTGATAAGATTTTAGTTAACTGGGGGAAATAGGTATTTGTGCTTGGAACTCGACACTCTGCTTAACAATTCCGTTATCTATTACACCATCTACACCACCCACCCATCCGAGCTTACAGCACCTGGTATTCCTAAGAGGTCACCCATTTAGGTAATGACCAGGCTCGACGTTGCTTAACTTCAGTGATCGCACAAGAACGGGATGCCAGATCTGGACGTGGTTGATCCTGATCTGGCATCCCGTCTGCAGTCGCTATTTCACAGACGTGCTGTGACTTCCCTAGCGCAGTAGAAAAAACCAACCCTAGTGTTTTCAGTTTTCACTAGTTCCCGCATATAATATTCAACATTAAATATCCCGACGAGAGTTGGTATGACTGAAAAGCAACTAACTTTACATTTGAATATTAAATGGATAGAGCTGTCCTGATTATGAAGACGATAGATTCATTGGGGTTGTTTGTAAGTCCAAAAGATCTTCAATACATCAGGAGCTGCTTCCACTTAGCAAAACGGTAGCTTTGTTTTCAAATCCAAATAGTCATAGTTACGTAGTACAGAAGCTTATTTACATTATTCGGACTTTTGTCCTCATCTTTGTCACCAACGTTTCGGCCGTACGCTCCGGCCTTCTTCAGGTGGTTGGAATGTCGAACTGAACTCTTTATTTCGCTCACTGGGGTAGACTGTTCTAGTTCCATGTTTAATGGATGTCAGTTATCTCCTATTAATTTCCCTCTGAAAGTTCTCCACTGCCTTAACCGGGTATTGAACTCACACTGTTTGGGTTCTGTCATTAGATCTAACCAACGCTTTTATCCACTGTGCCATGTGTCCTTGAGGACATTAACAAGCATTAACTCATGAACCAAATAGTGTCCTGTCTGTAAGTTAAAATCGTGTCCTGTCTATAAGCTAAAATGAAAGAGCTAGGCTATCAAAGAAGAGTTGCAAGAAAGAAGTCCTTGATTTCAAAGGTTAACAGGAACAAGCATATGGACTGGACAAGAGAATTCAAAAGCAAAGATTATGAATTTTGGCAGTCTGTAATTTGGTCAGATGAAAGCAAATTCTGCCATTATTTGAATTCGAGGCAGGTTTATATTTGGAGAAATCAGAATGAGACTTGGAATACTGAATGTCCGCAGGCGAATTTGAAACATGGAGAGATTGGCGTAATGATGTTGGGCGCTGTCTGGGTAGGAGGAAAATCTGAGTTGATTCTTGTTGATGAGCAGATGAATGGTCCAAAATATTAGAGAAAGGACTACTCCCACTATTTGAGACCAATCAGATTGACAAGAATGTTCAACTTTTCAAGAAGATGGAGCGCCATGTCATACGAGTAAAGTAGTAAAGACCTGGAAGGAATCGCAAGGAATCAACTCACTGCCATGAGTAGCCCAAAATCCTGACATTAATCCAACAGAGCCCGTTTGGGAGCACCTTTACTGAAAATTCCGAGAGCGTGCAACCAAAATCACGTCAGTGGCAACCCTCAAAGAAACATTGCTAAAGGAATGGCAAAATATGGATCAGACGATTGTTGATAACTTGAACAAATCCATGAAAAATTGAATACAAGCACTGAAACTATCAAATGGAGGACCTACTCCATATTAGTTCCAAATACTTTTTATTTATGTTAAGTTGGGTTTATGTAATTAAATTTTGAAATTGGATTTAGTTTATTTCTCCTGGTAATAACTTTTCTTAGGCCACTGTAAAACAAACTATGATTTCTTGTTCAGAGCAGAGAAGGATTTCTCGTTTTTGAATTTAATATTGGGAAGAGAATTCATAAATTATAAAGTGAATGACTGCATCAAAAAAGTTTCATTTCACTCCTGAATAATTCTCTTCTCAAACAGAAACACCAACTTTGTCATAGATAATTCTTCACACTTGATTTAAATCTCCTATAAATGAACAGAAAAGCCATTTTTTTCTTCAACACATAATTTCAATGGACTATCACATAGAACTTGTTCACTTTATTTTTTGCCATGTACATAGCGACATCTCAAGGTGCGTCAGTGTACTGCTACGCATAATTTGGGGGAATTTCTTCTTTTATGTACCATGTCCCTTCATAACTTAGACGAACAGGACCTGCCACACCTTCCTATTTCTTTTAGCTCTTAATAAGTTCTTATTTTATTTAGTACTATTCAGTTATTGTTCCACACTGAGTGCAGGTACACACTGTCCGATATAGGGATTGAATGCACACAACTGTCACCAAATTCACAAACCAACGCGTTAACGCACTACGCTACTGAAGTAAACTTAGACTCTTAAACCTAATTTTGGCTGTAGATTAGGCAGTCACTGCTGTTGATGGTTGTAATGTTTTGATGGCTACTGCTGTACACGTTTTGACTGTTGGTACCCATGTTTTGACTGCTGCTCTTGTTGCCCAGGTTTTGCCTGCTGCTGTTGTTGCCTATGTTTTGACTGCCGATCGTGTTGCCTATGTTTTGACTGCTGCTCTTCTTGCCCATGTTTTGACTGCTGATCGTCTTGCCCATGTATTGACCGCTGCTCTTGTTTCCGGTGTTTTGACTGCTGCTCTTGTTGCGTATGTTTTGACTGCTGATCGTGTTGCCCATGTTTTGACTGCTGCTCTTGTTCCCCATGTTTTGACTTCTGCTCTTGTTGCTCATGTTTTGACTGCTGCTCTTCTTGCTCATGTTTTGACTGCTGATCGTGTTGCCCATGTTTTGATCGCTGCTCTTGTTTCCGGTGTTTTGACTGCTGCTGTTGGTGCCTATGTTTTGACTGCTGATCGTGTTGCCCATGTTTTGACTTCTGCTATTGTTGCCCGTGTTTTGACTGCTCACTAGGTCATTGTTCCCTTTTACATTTAAGCTGTGTCACATTAAATTTCTAACTCATGATGAAGTGTGCAGTAGTTTGTGTTCATATGAGCACTTCGACATGGTGTAATGGTTAGACTTCTTGTCTTGCTAGATCAATTACAAGTGAGTTCGATCTCCCCTAGGTACTCCATACGGTTAGAAAATATGTAGACAATAGTCCTAATATAAATAGTGTAAATAATGATAACTCCCCATCCCAAAAATTCAGACAGAAGAATGTTTTCATTCAAAGTTCGTTGTTGATTAAACTTTGTTGACAATAATTTTAGAAGCAATTTACTGGTACAATGACTTGCGCAATGAGGAGGATATGAACGAGTGGTTTCCCGAAATTAACGCCTCCAAAATAATACTGCTTTTTATTAATCATCTCAGTGACTCCTTTCTGCCTTTCATTGGCATGGCTAATGCTAACCTCCACAAGAGTGACTCGATGCGTTTTCTCGTGATAAAGTTTACTGCTGACATAAAGTGAAAAGATTATATTGGATCAATTGCTAGGTCTGCTTGTCAAGAAAGCTGGTTCTCTGTGTCGTATTAGATGATCTTTCTTGCCAGAATCTATTTTATATATTTATAAATCTACCTTCCGCCCATGATTTGAATATCGCTGCCATATGGTTTTTCCTGCTATATGTTTAATGTTTGCTAAATTCCAAACAAGAATCTGCAATATCATTGGTCATAACCTGGCATCTTGGCTTTAGTTATTTTCCCATCGCCGTAATGTAACTTCCCTGTGCTTCTTTTATAAATAATTTCAGAGTACTTGTTATTGTGGACTTTCGTCTGTGGTACCTAGATTTATGAATTTAAGCCCAGATTGGCGCCAAGGTCTCATCCTTTTAACTTTGAGATGACTAGATGTAACCGTAAGTTCTATGCTAACAGTTTCTTCTCTCGCACTTCTCGCTTGTAGAAATCTCTTCCGGATTCTTGATTTCTAGTTAAGTTTGATCTTCAAAAATGTAATCATTATCTTCTGTTTTCTTCTGTTCTTTTATTGTTCTTGCTCATTAATATATGTTTTTAATTTTATTATATTCTTTCACACACAGTCAACCCCTTGCGGCTTAGTGGCTTTGTTGCCTTGCTTGGAGCTGAAGTGAGTTTTTTTTGGGTTTTTTTAAGTGCTTATTCATTCATTGTATATCGAATCGTTGTACGTATGTTATGAAGGAAAAAGATACACATAAACTGGAATAAAGTAGCCTTGGAATAAAAATATACATATATTTCCAATAAAGGAATATAAGCGTTCAATAAATATGCTTATAATTCTGCAGAATTCTGTGGATGTATCTATAAGTAACGTGTGCAATATTTACTTAGTCACCCCCACTCCCACCCCCACGTGGGCATCATGTGGCACAAGGCCCGTTTAACGTGGGATCTCTGAGCCCGTTGGCCCGGCCAAAAATATGCCCATTGGACCCGTATAAACGGGTTCAGGGTCGGTTTACCTCCCCGAAAGAGACTCCGCCCTTCAGCGTAGCCGCTTTCGGGTTCCTCCCCGCCCGAAGACAGAGAGTTCAACCGATCAGCCGGTTGATCGAGATCGACTGACTGACCCACGTTACTCTACTACTCCTACTTATTACAGGTGGGAGAGTCTATTAACTATAGAATAGGTATGTTCCCACATAACAAAAACGGGCACAACGAATTCAAGTTCCAACATTGATCGTTGTTTTCATGTTGTCTTCATGTCCTTTGGAAATCTATGAAACCGTCTATTCTTCCCAGTTGTGAATAAAAATACAACTGCTAAAAGGAATGTCATGACAGTTGGTTTTTTTTTCCATCAGTACAACGTCTTACTCACTTAAAGTCCTAGCACACAAAAGAAATGAACTCTAGTCACCCCTTTTAATAGACGATCAATCAAAAACCGTCTCTTATTTCATTTAGTTTCATCAAATAATTGTGGAAGACACATGGTTTTCTTCAATAATAGAATTCAGTCGTGTGACCAAAGTCGTTTAGCAGTCTTTCTGTTTTACGTTTGAGCCGTGCCACACGAAATTTCGGACCCATGATGATTCAAGATTTCCTTCCATCAAGATGGAGTGACGTGTGTATTATATTGCATCGATATGAGCGCCTCGACCCGGGGCACTGGTTAGCAAGCTTGTTTAGCTAAATCAGTTACAAATGGGTTCAATCCTCACTAGGTACTCCATACTTTTGGCCGTGTGCCACATCTAAGCTACGCTTAAAAATCACTGTTTTTATAGATGTTTACTAAATACAATGATAAAAGGAAGAGAATGGGGGGAGGCGAAGAATTATGTTGCACCAATAATCTAAATAGGTTGCC